AACTTACCAGAAGGCTACTAGTGTCTATAGAAAGCTACCAGAAATAAAATGCCAAGCTTCAAGTACAATAACATTAAATGTTCTTGCAGACTGAAAACATAAGTCAATGTGGAAAAGCCTTGAGATTTGAGAAACCTTGAGAAAATATTAAAGAAAAATTAACATACATTCTTTTTCAAACTCCTCAGGAATAGCTATCCTGAGAAATGGTAAATACATCAAACATATGATCAAAAAGGAGGAAGAACAATATGAAAGAGACCAGACTGCAGAAACTTGTCAAAGGTTTTGGGCTTTGGTGTGTTTAGGATTTTTAAAATTTTATTTGGGGGGTTTATTGTTTGGGGCTTTTCTTGGGAGTTAATTTAGGGTGATGTTCTTTTGTTGTTGTTTTCTTGTTTTGTTAGGGGTTTGTTTGTTTGGGAGGGGATTTTTTTTTTGGTATTTTTTTTAATCCACATTCATCATGGAGAGGCTCAGATTGGCTCCTGCTCCAGACAGCTCATGTCAAATCAGAGATCAAGGATGCTACTGGCCACTTCAGTGACACAAAACAATAACAGTTCTTTACAATTAAACAGTAAATACCCAAGAAATCAATTAGACATTAATAATTGATTGCCAACCACCATGATATCTCACTTATAAAAAAGCAGGTAACAAATGAGAAAATTTTAATGAGATTCCCAGGGATTTATGTAGGTGAGCTGACTTGTCCACTGTGCTGATACCCTGTGATATAAAAATATTGTACATACAGATAACTGTGTTATGCTGGCAAATACAGCTCAAGTAAAGGGTATGAGGGATTCACACCCATTGTCATTCTCAGAGTCTAGAAGTGTTATTAACAGATATGAATTTAAAATTTATCAAGGTAGAAGTTCCTGATTTGCCAGCATTTTGAGCATGTCAGTCCTCCAATACAAGAATCCAAATACAAAAAGGAACGGAGAAAAAAATACTTGGCAGACCTTGCATTCCTCACCACTGCCTCAAGCTATAATCTTCAAGTTATGAAAATTTTTAACTGTAGAAGAAAGTGCCAGAGCAAGCTGCTTTTGCTAACCCTACAGAGAACCTAAACAAATAAGCTTAAATCAAAAGTCAAGCTTTGTAGGAAGTGCAGACTTCTATCTCTCATATGACTCTAAAACAATTATAGCAGAAGTGTTCTTTTTTGCAGCTCAAGTACAGGGTATGTGGGATTCACACCCATTGTCATTCTCAGATTCTGTAACTGTTATTAACAGATATGAATGCTTCTATCTCTCATATGACTCTAAAACAATTATACCAGAAGTGTTCTTTTTTCACACAAGAAAGAAAGTAAACTGCAAACAAGGTGGGCATGAGAAAGTATGTATTGAAAAAGAGCTTTGTTCAGGTTCTGGTGCAGCTTCACTACAGATAATTTATGAGCATCCTTAGGCATCCAGCAGAATTTCATATATTCAAGAACTGAAACATGGTAGAAACAGTGGGAAATGAATGCAGCAGGCAACTCAACAGCATTGTGAACAACAATCTCAGTCCCTACTTATGGCCTTGCAAACTGCAACTGTTAACAAAGCCACAATGAAAATACCTGAAAACATTTCACTGAAGCCTATCTTTATCTTTGGTGGAAGATTCATATAAACACCACTTCCCTACAATGATGATATGCATCACAAATTTGAACACAGAGCCATAAATTACAGCACCAGTGATTGATGTAGTACTGTCTCCAAAACCACTAATCTGCAAGACTTGGGTATTAGTAAGGACAGAAGTTAAAACAACACACTGAAGACACTGCTTGCTCTGACAGTGAGGCTGATATTATACCCTAATGAAGCACTAGCTCTAAGGAAGAACACAGACCCCCCCCACCAACACAAAAAACATGACAAGTCAAATCTCAAAGACAAAACAAAATTTATTTAAAACAACAAAACAAGACAGTGCTACTGCCAAGATAGAAAAAAAATAAGGATTCTTTTACTGAATGTGACAAGGCAGGCAATTTACAGCAGTTTACATTAATTCTGAGATCAGGTGGGGTTTTACACTGCTTCAATTGACTACATGTACTTTCTGCAAGACAAACTGGCTCCCCTTCCCCTCCCCTTTTCAAAAGGACTGACAAAAATATCCTATAAAAAAACATTTACAGAATTTTGAGACATGATTGAAACCACTGTCCAAAAATCTGGAACTTTCCAAGAAGGTTAAGTCCTTTTTTGCTTCAACCAACCCTCAATGGGGGAGCTACAAGCACAACGCCATCCCCTCTGACAAAGAGCATCGGAATATTCCTCTTGGTAGACTGTGAAGAAGGAAAGAAAAGTTTACATTTACAAAACATTCATTTCAATCATAAAAACACACCTGAAACAACTCAAACACTCAATGTTCTGACAAGCTGAAGAGATCAAAACAATTAATACCAAGTCTGTAGATATCCTGTATACTTTCATAACAGTTTGTCCAAATCCTGTTAGAGCTTGGTTCAAAAAACAGTCAGCAAAAAACTACTTTAACAATATAACACAGTGTAGTTTTAAATAAAAAAAACCTGTGAGGATAAATTAACTCCTTTTTTAGTCCTTACTTTATAAATCTCTTCATAGGTTTCTTCATCAATCTCTATTGTAGTCACAGTTTCTTCCACATCACCCAGAATCATATTTAAGTGCTGATCATATGCCTGTAGAAATGAAGTTTAGTTTACTATATTTTCCAAAATTCAAACATTGAGTTTATTAAAATGAGAATTTTAGCAAGACTTTGAGACATAAATAGTTTAGTCTGATTTTTACCAAAACATTCTACTATCAGTTCTAGTTACAGCTCAACACAAACATAAACAAATGAGTACTCTGCAGCAGGAAAAAGAATGCACGACATTTACATTTACAGAAACACTTGCAGGAAATGGCTCTGAAGCATTCTGTGAGAGCACTTACAAGACCTCAGAGACAGACAGACTTTGTTAACATTAAACCAGCCACACACTGCTGCCAGTCCAGCCTCCTGGAATGGATTGCCTGGGGCAACTTACAGGGTATGAAAGCTGCTTCTCATACAGTGCTACAAAACCTTAAACACATGTTCCAAATCCTTACAAAAGCATATTGCAAACCACACATGTCCCTCATGGATGTCTCATTATCTCTGTGCTTCCCAAGGAGGTGAGGCTCAGTTAACTCATGGGACAACTGGTTCCCTTCCCCAGCAGAGCAGAGCACACAGGGAGGCTGCCTGACTTAACAGAAAGCAAAAATCTGAGAACCCAGCTGAGCACCTGTCCCATCCAGCTCCCAGGGTGTGCCTTGAGGGATTCTTGTTTGACAATGATGACCTCAGTCTAGAAGAGGCCTCAGGGTACATCATATGAAGAGGCCTGCAGCATTACTGCTTATTTTACAGACAGAGAAAAAGAAGCCAAAAGCAGTGAAATCAATTGCTTGGTATCATTCAGGAGATAAGAAAACCAAAATATATCTCTTGATTTTCTAGGGAAGCAGTTAACAGCGGGCAAAATACTGACAAGTGAGATTTTTCCACCAATCACATTACAGTTATGGCAACTAAGACAATTCTTAACCTGCTTTCTCCAACCACTTTTGCACTTTCAACCACGAAATGCAATTACTCATGCTTTAAAACTAGTTTTTTCAACAACCAATGGAATATTACAGGTAAACTTGTTTAACAGACCATTGTACATAAAGTCTGTTGTACATAAAGCACTGCCCAGTGCTTAGCTGAATGAGCATGACAATATTGTGAAAGTTACTTACATGTAATCTGCCTCTAAGCTCTCTGTCATTCCTCATTTTGACATAGATTCGCTCATCTAGACTGAGTCTGATGAGATCAAGTGGCTCCTCTACAGTATTTGTTGTTTGTTGCTAAAAAAAAGAGATAAAAGCATTACTTGTACAGAAGAAGCCTATGAACTTTTCCCTTCCTCAATGTCTGTGAGACACAGAAAACAAAGGAGTGAAAACACAGGTGCAAATGCTTGAAATCATTCCACCACATCCTGGTGAACCTGAGTGCTGCTGATTTACCACTCCACTGACACTCACCAGCCCTGAGCAATGCGAGTCAAAAGATTTCAGTTCAGTCTGCAGCTCATCATTCTTCACACACAGGGGCATTGGAACGAGACCATCTTTAGGGTCCCTTCTAACACCAACCATTCTATAACTCTGTGAACTCTTTTTCCTACCAGCAGCCACAGCTTACACTGCGGGAACCAGCAGCACGGCTGTGCCATGGCACGGAGCAGCTGAACCCAGGCTGACAGCGGTGCCGGCACAGGGATGTACCCGGGCACACACTGGGGGCTCTCGGGTACCCGGGCACACGCTCCAGGGCTCTCGGGTACCCGGGCACACGCTCCAGGGCTCTCGGGTACCCGGGCACACGCTCCAGGGCTCTCGGGTACCCGAGCACACGCTCCAGGGCTCTCGGGTACCCGAGCACACCCTGCCCCGCACACTGAGCGCTCCCGAGCCCTTGCGGGGCCGCACAGCAGCCAGACCAGGCCCGAGGCGTGAACCCTCAACACACAGCGGCCTGAGGCCCCTTGCTGTGCGAGAGGCGCACTTCGAGGATCACAGCTACAAAAGGGGGCAGACCTCCTCCACATCTTCCCTATGTCTTGTATATCCCATATTTCCCTTCTAGCTACCTCCTTCCTCCAGAGCCCAGCGCACTGCCCTCGGCAGCTTCCCCCTTTCCCTCCTCCGGCAGTGCCGGGAGTCAGCGGGCCGGCAGGAGCCCTGCCCGCGCCCCACAGCGGCGCCAGCCCCGCGGCCAGCGCGGATTTCGGCTCGCACGGGGAGCGCTCAGCCCAGCCCTGCAGCCCGGAGCTGCCTCCCCTGCAGCCACCCAGACAGAGAAAGACCCAGAGCCGCTCACCTGGTCCACCTCATCCGCCATCTTTCAAACCGCCTCCCGCGCCCGCCCGCGAGACTTTATGGCCCGGCCCCTTCCCCTTCCCTTCCCCTCCCTCCCCAGAGCGGGGCCGGGCCGGACCTGCCCGCGCCGGCAGCGCCATGGCCAGAAAGCGCAGAGCATCGCCCCGGCCCGCGGCCGCCAAAAAGAGGCGCTCCGGGGGGCTGCCGAACGAGGAGGAGGAGGAGGAGCAGGAAGAAGAAGAGGGTGAGTGCGGCAGGGAGGCCGTGGCGGGCCGGAGCCGCGCCGTCGCCGCTCCGGCCGCGGGGTCGGGGGCTCCAGCGCACCTCGGGAAGAGCGGCAGCGCCGGGCTGGAGGGCGCTGGTTATCGGCTCTGTTGTCGACTGTGTTATCGGCTCTGTTATCAGCAGGGTTATCGGCGCTGCGATCAGTGCCCCAGATCCCGCGCGTTAAACCCGTGTGTGACGCTGACAAAGGCCAGCAGCCCCTGAAGGGTAGCTGCAGCTCGGCCGCGCTCTCCCGAGCAGCGTCACGCTGTAATAAGTTGTTGTGAGTGGCAAGCACGATGCTGGGTTTTCTGCCGATTCCATCGGTAGGACTAAAGGAATCTTTGGGTACTTCTTGTGAGTTACATAAGTGTTTCCCTCCAAATGGTCTCACTGTTCAAATCTTGCCTATTTGTAAACAAACAATGACACTCTCAGCATTGTGAGTGCTCATGTTCTTCTGAAGCTGCCTCTAGTGAAGTCCATGGAGATATTGTTTCATATTGCCATGGAGATGAAGCTCCGTCCTTTAATCTTCATTTATTTTGTCACGTGCAGATGATTTTGAAAAGAAAAAGCCCAGTTTAAAAAAGACCTCAAAAGCACCAGCTAGGAAGAAGGGAGAAGATTGTGATACTGAAGTTTCCAACTCAGCAAAAACTTCCAAACCTTCAAAACAAGAAGCAAAATCACAAATAAAAGAAAGTAAAAAGAATGCTAGAAATAAAGAAAATTGTATCAAAGAGGAAACATGCAGGTAAATTTATCATTCAAATCTATAGGACCTTTTTCTTCATCTTATTTATTTCCTTCTGTGGTTTGATTGTCAAATAGTCTGTTGTTACTGATGCAGAGGTCATGCTTGATTTATTTCCCTATTTTTAGTCTTTGATAAACAAGCACCTCTGTTTCCTGATGCTGTCACTGTTTTGATGATTTTAACAGTGACCCACTGAAGCATCCTCAGGAAATGAAGATAAAGACAGAATCTCCTGTTAAAAAAGAGATGGATGAAGACAATACTGACAACGATGATGATGATGATGAAAGTGAAGATGAATGGGAGGATGTGGAAGGTAACAACTGCATATTTTTTCATGTTAAGCACTTTTTAAGAGCCTGAATATCACAATGATTCTTCAACAGCAGGTGACCAGCATCCCACAGTTAGTTTAAATAACTCAGCACACACAGCAGTGTTATGGAAGATCCAAGAGCTCGTAGTTACTGGATGTGTTCTGTTTAAAGTTGTTTGAACACTTGAGAAGGAAGACGTAGTTTTTATCCAGTCATCAGTCTTCTCTGGTAATCTATTCCATGTTTATTTATAATGTAGTATTTTATTTTTACAGAACTTCAGGAACCTGCTACAGATAAGTTAGAAGAAGCTGCAGTTCTTCCATCAGTGGGGCTGCCAAGAAATCCTGTCGAGATAGAGATTGAAACCCCAGAGCAGGTGAAGAAAAGAGAGAGAAGGTAAGAACAAGGAGGTGGTGCAGGGCTGCTAAAGGCTGAAGTTAAAAATACCCTAAGTCTTGACTGTCACTGACTTGCTGTGTGCAGGGTGAAAATCCCCACTTGGTGCAGACTGTTGAGTAGGAATGATGCAGGGTTGTGGGATGAAGAACAGTTTACACGCTGACAGCTCTACCAGAAATCTTCAGTGGAAGTTGGCAGGAATGGAAGAGGCTTTTCAGCTTCCTTGAAAATCAACTGTGTAACTTCATTGTGTTTTACTGTCTCCGTTTCCCTGAAAGGACAGCAGGATCCCTGCAAGGAGAGCTGTGGGTGAATGACATTGTGTTTCTGTAAAACTTTTAAGAGCCTGTTCACATAACCAGTCACTAAACCTTTCCTTTAGTGTACACGGGAGATTCTCTGGGATGGATTCTCTCTCTGAACTGACCCTGTTCAGGAACCAAGAAAGGCAGGTCCACAGAAATCCCACAACAACCCTTTCTTTTGTAATCTCCTGCAGAGAAAAAAGAAAAGCTGAGTTTGAGATGTACCTTCGGAGAATGATGAAACGTTTCAGCAAGGAGGTTCGTGAGGACACACATAAGGTATTTGTCACAGAGAACCATGGCAGAGAAGAAATGGAGCATAAAGGTGTCTGAACCGATTTGTAATAGCTAGAATGGCTACAAGTGAAAAAATAAAGAAGCTGTACTCCTGACAGATGCTTGTTAAGGTTCCTCCTAAACTGTGGATTGGAAACACCAGTGCCTGTGTTAGTAAAATTCTAACTCAAAGCATATGTGAGATATTTCTCCATAGAGGGATATATTCTCATTTTGTCAGGATTAAACTGCCAGTCGTGTAGAGCAGGAGACACTTGCAAAGACTTCAGTGCTTTGCTGTCTTCTGAAGACAGCATTGTGAATGCTTGGGAGGCTTTACTGTCGACTCTCTGTAAAAAGGAGCAGTGAAGTATTCCTTGTCTTTACCATGGCAGTAGTTCCAATAAGGAAAATCTCTCGTGAACTCACTTTTAAACTCTTCTCTCTCAGGTTCACTTGCTGTGTTTATTAGCAAATGGTTTCTACAGGAACAGGATCTGCAGCCAGCCAGATCTCCTCGCCATTGGTCTGTCCATCATCCCTGCGCGCTTCACCCAAGTGCCCGCAGGCCAAGTGGGCCTTGTCTACCTTTCCAACCTGGTGAAATGGTAAAACTCCCTTCTGATGGTGCTGTCACATAGGAGGGCGAGGGTTCAGGGAGAGGGGTAACTGTAACTAGCAATTATCTGTTTTAAATTTGTGTACAAGGGTGAGAGGGGCTGTCCTTTCTAGAAAAGGAAAGGGTGAACTGAGAAGTTTAGAAATACCGTCACAAACACTGGATAATTAGCAGGTGTCTTGTATTTCAGGTTTGTTGGAACCTTCACTGTCAATGATGAGCTTTCCACTGAAAAAGGAGAGCCCCTTCAGTCAACACTGGAGAGGAGGTTTGCCATCTATGCTGCACAGGATGATGAGGAGCTTGTTCATGTAAGAGACTGGGAAGTGCAGGGTTGGTTGGTGAGTTTGGATGCTGTGTGTCAGGTCATACACAAAGTGGTGGGAGGGGTGGATTTGAAGAAAGCAGATTGGTGACTTAAGTGATTTGGTAGCTTTTTATTCTCTTGTTTTTTGTCTCAAGACCTTCTGTGATTAAATTACTCAATTTAAACTGTTTTGCAGATATTTTTAATTATTCTGCGAGCATTACAGCTGCTGTGTCGCCTTGTGCTGTCTTTTCAGCCTATTCCTCTCAAGGAGACAAGACCAAAGGTAGTTTTTGTTGTTTGTGTGGAATAAGGAATAGGTCATTGATTGAGTAGGATTAAAAGAAACTTTCTGGCTTGCAGTGAATCACTTACTGCACAAACCAGGGTTCTGTCTACATTGCAGAAAATGAACACCCTTAATTTTTAATTTTCTTCTTTAAAACAGCCACTCATTTCTGTGTTTCAGCAAAGATTTCTTAATGTTTCAGTGGGTTTACATTTCTTTAAAGCTTAGATGGCAACTCTTGCTGCATGAGTACACCTCTCTTCAGCCAGTTGCCTGAAGTTTTCAAGTGAATTGACTGTGCCTGCCAACCATTGGTCTGCGTGAACCTTGGGCTGATTTCAGTTGTTTTTTTTTTTAACAATACTCTTAGCTGTGATGATAAAAATTACCTGGCCTGTTTCTCTGCAGGGAAAGAGCTCATCCAAGAGGCTGTCTCACAGCAGCACCTCTGAGGGACAGGAGAGTGCTGCCACAACACCCAAAGCTGTGGCAAAAACATGCCCCTGCAAAAAAGCCAAGCAGGATGAGAAATCCTCAGGGAGCAAAGAAAACAACAAGGAGCCAAAGAAATCCAAAACTGCCCAGACCAAAAGCTCACACAAGTCAAAGCTGACTAAAGGCCAGGAACAGAAGGAATCAAATAATGAGACCAGCTCAGCAGAAAAAGATGTGCCAGTCAGGCCCAAGAACGACCGCCGGAGACGAGTGGCCTCCAAAGTGTGTTACAAGGAAGAGAGTGGAAGTGATGAGGGCAGTGCTTCGGACTATGAGCTTTCAGAGGAGGAGAGTGATGTCTCTGATGAGGATTTTGAAAGTGTCCCTAAGAGGCGGAGAAGCTCACAGGCCTCCCAGAATTCAAAGCTGACAACTATGAAAAGGTCAAAAGCTGAGACTTCAGAAACAAGGCAGTCAAAAAATTTGCATGAAGCTGAGACTAAGCCAGCAAAAAGTACAACTCCAGGCTTACCTCAAGCACCGAGGAAGAGAAACAAAATCATTTCTAGTGATGAGGATGAAGGACAGCAGGACGTGAGGAAAGCCATGGGCACGGACCAGTGGCTGGAAGTTTTCCTTGAGCCTGAGGACAAGTGGGTTTGTGTAGACTGTGTTCATGGCAATGTGGGCCAGCCCCAGCTGTGCTTTGCACATGCCACAAAGCCGCTATTCTACGTTGTGGGATTTGACAACGATGGGAGTGTCAGGGATGTGACACAAAGGTATGACCCAGTGTGGATGACCTCAACAAGGAAGAGCCGTGTGGACCCCGAGTGGTGGGAAGAGACACTGCAGCCCTATGAAAGTCCCCATGTGGAGAGGGACAAGAAGGAGGAAAATGAGGTAAATCACAGTAGGTTGTTCAGGACATGTAGTGCCAGGAGTCCAGTCCCTGGATTCCCATTCAGGCAGAAAACATTAGAAATCTCTTCCCATGAAGGAGGTTTGTATTTGAACTTGAAATGTTGAGATTGAACATAAAAAGAATATGCAGTGGTAAATTGAAATAATAGGAAATGATGGAGGCTGTTCAGACAAGTTTGCATAACAGAAGTACTGTGCTGGAAACTTAGTAGTGAGGTTTTTTAGTGTTTAGCATTACTGTTCTCAGAGAGTTTTTAAAGTACATAGGTCAGGGTACACATCTAAGTACTTACTTGCAGCAAGAGTGTTTGATCGTTAGCTCATCTGCTAAATTTCCAGTGTTTTTTTCCTTTGGTTTATATTATAGTAATTCTTATTTTCTTACAAAGGATAGTGAAAAAGTTGTGAAATAAAAACATTAGAAATCTCTTTCCATGAAGAAGGAGGTTTGTATTTGAACTTGAAATATTGAGATTGAACATAAAGAGAATATGCAGTGGTAAATTGAAATTATGGAGGCTGTTCAGACAAGTTTGCATAGCAGAAGTACTGCATAGCTTGTGCTGGAAACTTAGTAGTGAGGTTTGTGTAGTGTTTAGCATTACTGTTCTCAGAGAGTTTTTAAAGTACATAGGTCAGGGTACACATCTAAGTACTTACTTGCAGCAAGAGTGTTGGTCTGTTGGCTCATCTGCTAAGTTTCCAGTGTTTTTTTCCTTTGGTTTATATTATAGTAATTCTTATTTTCTTACAAAGGATAGTGAAAAAGTTGTGAAATTATTCTTTTCTGTATAATTCTTACAGTTTCAAGTGAAACTTCAAGATCAGCCTCTACCAACAGCGATTGGAGAGTACAAAAACCACCCCCTTTATGCACTGAAGAGGCACCTCTTGAAATTCCAGGCCATCTATCCCGAGACAGCTGCTATCTTGGGGTACTGCAGGGGAGAGGCTGTCTATTCCAGGTGAGTTGTGCCTTGTGTCTTGTCACCTGCATCTGTGATCTTTGTAACAAACTGGAGAGCTGATTTGCATGATGGTATCAGCAGTAGTCTCAGGCCGCATGCATAAACAGGTGAGGCATTTAGCTGCTCTGACAGCATTTGTGTTTTACTAAGATACAGCTTTTTTATTATTCTTAATATAAGTTTATTGTGGATCTGTTTGGGATGATTTGAAAACTCTTAAATTTTCTTCTTTCTGTCCTTTTCAGACTGCATACACACTCTGCACTCCAGGGACACATGGCTGAAGCAAGCTCGAGTGGTGAGGATTGGAGAAGTGCCTTACAAGGTAAGAGAGCTCTATTTCCTCCTGTGCAATCCATCTGCCCTCTAAAGCTCAAGCTCTGTTTTGGTTTTTTGTCTTCTGTCTTGTCAGCAGATGCAGATTTCACACGTACTTGCATGGTTTGTGGTAGCTGTACTGTCCACCTGGTGTGCCTATAGTTCCTGCATCCTGCCCAAAACCCAGCTTTGTGAAGGTGTCTGGCAGAACTGCTCCCTTCTCACCTTTTCCAGAGGCATCCCAGTGTTTCATGTGCACTGCTGGACTCTGCCTGTTGCATACATGTGCCATGGGTTGTCATGTGTATGCAATGGAAATTGAAACTAGGAAACAGCATTTCTGCTCTCCCAGAACCTTCTCCTTCGGTGTCCTAGGAAAATCTGAAACCACTGTCAGCTTCTTGTGATGTTACAGGCCTGGCTGTTGTATTTGCAGATGGTAAAAGGATTTTCCAACCGGGCGAGGAAGGCGCGCCTGGCAGAGCCGGCGAACCGGGACCGCGAGGACCTGGCGCTGTTTGGCCGCTGGCAGACAGAGGAGTATCAGCCTCCCATAGCAGTGGATGGAAAGGTAGCTGGGAAAGCAGAGGGCTGGTGCAGAGGAAGTGGTTTGTGTGGAGCTCTGGGCTTTGTTTTTCCAAAAGTTGTATGTTTCAGATGTGAGATCAGTCTGTAATACCTGGATTCAGGATTAAGAGTCCAGAGGTAAATGTTCACAGGAGGAAATAATCAAAACTTTAGTGAGGCCTTTCTTTCACAAGTACTCAAATGGCAGAGAGTGCAGACTGCTAAAGTCAACATTTTGTTGATCTGACCTTCCTAGCCCATGTTTTGCCTTGCTAATTCTCTGCATTGCAGTCTGAGTAACAAAGCTTGGGCAGAGGACATAGCTAGGAGATAACCATGCATCTAAAATCTAGGCTTGTACCTTGTCATGTGAATATTAATTGAATACTGGAGTGGAATATAGCAGGTCAGGAGGGGAGAGTCCCTGAGTTGCAGGAGGTATTTTCACCTCTTTCCAGAAAGCAGGATTATCACCATCTCTTTTTAATCTTGCCATAACAGGTTCCTCGGAATGAATATGGCAATGTCTATCTGTTCTTGCCATCCATGTTACCTGTTGGCTGTGTGCAGCTGAAACTGCCAAACCTGAACAGAGTGGCACGGAAGTTGAACATTGACTGTGCTCAAGCCATCACTGGATTTGATTTTCACGGCGGCTACTCGCACCCAGTGTATGTAAAAGCTGCTTTGTTGCACCTGTCAGATGTTGATGTCCTGCAGAATTTGTGTATCTTATGTTAAAGGGAGCATGTGACCAGTTGTACACTTTGATCCTTTAAGACAGACAGAAGCTTTTGGGCTGGGTCAGCAGGCATTTGCTCCCTTTCTTTTGCCTTCTTGTAGCTGACAGAGGATTGTCTTCTCCTTCCTAGTACTGATGGGTATGTAGTGTGTGAGGAGTATAAAGAGGTCCTTGTTGCTGCCTGGGAGAATGAACAAGCAGAAATAGAAAAGAAGGAGAAGGAGGTGAGAATTACTTTTGCAGCTTCCTTATTGTTACATTTACAAAGTAAATTTCATTGAAACTGGGCAGTCAAAGAGGGCGGGCTGTGTAAGCAACAAGCACGAAGCTTTTTTGATGACAGCTTTAAGATTTTTAAACTTTCCTTTTCCATGTGCATAAATCCATTGAAACTCACAGTAGTAATTTTTTCTCTTTCCCATAACAATCCCCCACAGAAGCGTGAGAAAAGAGCTCTAGGGAATTGGAAGCTGCTGACAAAAGGACTTCTCATCAGAGAGAGACTGAAGCAACGCTACTCCATCAAGGTATCCTGCATTGCTATTAGTAATTTCTTTTTCTAGAGGTTATTTTAACTGTAGAATAAAATTTCCAGACTGCAGTTTCTCAAAAGTCTTCAGCTAGTCAAAAAAGCTAGGCCAGAAGTTCAATGTGGTCATGTTTATCAAAGATTTGTTACTGTTTAACAAGGAATGAATGCTTTCAATTTTTTTACTGTTTTCTGTTTTGTCATCCCCTTCCTAGATTTATTCCTCTAAGCCAAGCATGTAGCTAACAGGTGGGAGAGTGGGGGACCTTTACTTTTAGTTAGATGTTTTAGTTCTTAATTTTTTCTGCAAGGAGAAAGAAGAAATGCCTGATTTTTCAAAACAGGGTGGTTTTATTCTTCTGTTGTCAAAAATGCTTATGGTGCAAGAATGTTTGGTGTTGAGAAATAGAAGCAGTTTGGGTGGGAAGCCCAAATCAGAGCAATCAACTTCTGTAAGGCCACTCACTGTCACTGTGACAAAAGACAAGCCCTTTTAGAAAGGGGCAGTTACAAGTGATTCTTAGAGTGACTTTCTGATTTTCACACCTGTTTTTTCCAGGCTGAGCCATCAGCACCTGAGACAGAGAAAGGAGAGGGATTCTCTTCTGATGAAGAAGGAGCTCCAAGCTCAGAGAGCACAGTGGGGAACACAGCCATGTATTGGCCCCAGAATCGCCAGCTAGAGAAACAAGAAGAGATAACAACCAAAAAGAGCAAGCGAGAAAAGAGAGGAGAAGCAGCTCAGCTGTTCCCTTTTGAGAAATTGTGATTACAAGCTTTTCTTTGGTGTTCTCAGATGCAGGAAACATAGTCATGATAGAAGTATCCTTTACCAGTTAGGGCCTTGGGCTCTTCCTCTGCACTTGTGTTTCTGAGCAGGCAGGGACCAACCTATTTCAGTATCCAGTTTCCTTTGAGACCACAGGTATCACTTGGGTATCAGATTCTTCTTTTGTCCATGGACTTGGAAGAAGAGCTGCACCTTCCAAGATCACTTTGCTTTGTTGAAGTTTTTGCTCTCCTTTGTACCACTTCTGTCATCAGCAGTCTCTTTTCCCATTTTTCTTGTTTTCATTTTTCCCTGCTTGCTCACAACTAAACAGAACTAATAGTTGAGTTTCCTGAGGCACTTCTGTCAGCAACAGTCTCTTTTCCCATTTTTCTTGTTTTCATTTTTCCCTGCTTGCTCACAACTAAAGCATCCACTGCTTTTTATCTGTCTGCAGAGAGGTGGCCACAGGAATGCTGATGCCTGCTTTGATCCACAGCTTACCCAAATCAGTGGTGAGGTAGAGTTCTGGCCTTTCTGTCTCAAGGGGGAGATACTTCCTCTAAGGTCTAAAAAAAAACCCCAAAATCAGAATATGGAGGAATTAGTATTTTCTAAAGAATACTTGCATTTTGTGGTGCAAGTTTGGCTTTTGAGCCTGCCGTCTTTATTGACTCTCAGAAATCTTGTGCTGTGGAAGGGAGAAGCCCTGTCCTTATTACCAGCTTAGGGTTCAGTATGTCTTCTTAAGCAATTTGAATATGTACATATTTGCTTCTGCTGCTTATCAAGATCCTGTTCTGGAGCAAAATGCATAAAACTGACAAAATCTCACTGATGGAACAAAATTCACTAGAACCACAGAATTTTTATTATCCAGTACCATAGCATTAAAAATCTGTTGAGAGAGGAATATTAAATCTACATCAGCTTTTGTTGCACTTTTGTAGTAGAAATACTGATCTGTCTTTGGCAGTATGTATCTAAAGTCCACTGACACAGTCTCTTCAAAAATGGAGGGGAAAACAATTTAGTCATTGCTGGACATTGTCACAGAGTAGGAGATGTAAGAAAATGGCTTTCATGTAACTATGTTCAGAAGAAAATCTATTTTTGTACTGTATTTGTAGATCAAAATAAAGTTTGAAAAAAAGAGTATGTTGTCTGTTTTTGGAATGCACAGGTCTCCTTAAAATACAAGGGGCTGTAGCATTCAGGTTGAACCATTGTATTTTTCAAATGATCTTAGAGAGGCAATGAAGTGACTGACTTCCTTGGTCAGCTATAGAGAGTAAACCCATGGCAGGCTGCCAGCAGTACACAGACCAGAGAGCAGCTTCCCAAAACAAATATTTGCAGGACAAAGAGAACCCAAAAATAGGAAACTAGTTCTTGTGGAAGCTACAAACTACCTGGACATTACATTATTCCTGGATATAAAACATGCAATAGTTGAATTTAATAAAAAAGCCTACAGACCAAACTTTTGAAAATGGTATTTTATTAAATATACAAAAGCTCAGCACTTCTGTAGAAAATTGTCACTTCATTTCCAATAAGTAATGCTGGTTCATGTTCTGCACCATGGGCACAACAGCAGCAGCTCTAAGCCAGTTCCTCTCCCCACGGAGCCCAATTCCTGACTGCTGGAGCATGAGCAGGTGTAAGGCTGTGCAGCACCACTGCCACGTACCAGTGCATGCACAAGGCCAGCTCCTCACCTGCCCTTTCACTCCCTGCTCCTGCTGTCACCAGGACAGAGCTGTGGGGGCAGACTGACTATTCAAATACCAACAGAATGAAAGCAACTAGGACTAATAAAGTCATCACAAATTCTCAAAACATTTATGGTTTCTAACTCAGATTTCTATTTCAGTATCATTTCTAGCAAATGTTTGCTTCTATGAATGTTCAAGTCAAGTTCCTTTGGTACAGAGAACACTCCTCTGATGGTCATAAACAGATTTCATAATAGAAAACATTATTTTTGTACTGACCTGTGTATACTTAGAAAAATCCCAAAACAGTAGTGTAGGGGGCCCCCTCTGGAAGCCAGACTCTAGCTTGGTGGAGAGACTTAAGGGTGTCTCTAACCTCAAGTACTGGTTACAGCAAGTAAACATGAGCCATCACAACACTACAAGGCATTCCTCTAACAAGATAAAAAACTACCAATTTAGGCTACTAAAATCTATGAAAACTAATCAGGCAAAAATATTTCCATTACTTAATTTCACAGAGTATGTTTATTGTCCTTACTAAGTGAAATTAAAGAAAGGAACAGTATACACAGCAAAAAAACCTCAACTACTTTAGACTATACTTTCAGTTATAAAAGTCAATGTTGTTTTTTATTTACAGGTGAATGACCTGTGAGTATCCCTTTAAGTGCAATTTGAAGTGGAAATTTTTGAAACCATTCTGATATAGTCCAGGCTATCATTTTGGATGCTTAACCAAGAACAAAACCTGGGGGAAATCAATGTGTCCTGATAAATCTGCCCAACCTCAGAGCACTGCTAACCTGGCCACTCATTGCATCAATGACTTTGAAAATCCTCAGTCCAAAAGCAGAAGTATACATGAGTATTCGGTGCAATTCACCTAAGCTGTGTTTTCCCTTTGAACACACGCACTGCCAAATACATCAGCCAAAGGAGTGTTCTGACTGTGCAAACAAGAAAAGGCAGCAGAGGGAGGGTTTGTCAGAGGCAGGCAGGCACACGCATTTCCTAAGGACATCTAACCAGGGTCCATGGGATGCAGCTGGCACTTTCTCCAAAACAAGGTGCCCCACCCAGCAAGGACTCGCTAGTTCTGAAATCAGGGGGAATTACTAAGCAGTAAGAGGTACAAATCTGCTTGTTCACACACACCTAAAATGCTTTTTTTCCCCAAAGCTGGTGTCACTAACTTCCCACAAATAGCACCCTATAGTCCTGTGGATAAAGTGTACCAATAACCACATTCAAGCCCCCTCCCCAGCGTTCAGTGCTCGCTGCTGAGCTGTGATTTGCTGTAAGCTTGCTGCAGGAACCGGGCAGAAACGCACTTGGGAGGGCTCTAACCAGGACTCTAACCTGACCACCTCCTCGTCACTGCTGCTTCTTGGGCAGGACACGGGACCTGGCCAGCAGGACGGGGACGGCGGAGAGCAGCGCGAGGAGCAGGGCCCAGAGCGGGCGGTAGAAGAGCCAGCCCGCGGCGATGGTCAGCAGCGACAGCGAGCTGGCCACGCACACGGCAAACGCCTTCAGGCCAACGCCAACCAGCTCCCTCACAACGGGAAACCAGTCCACTGCAGACAGAATCACACATGGCATGGAGCAGTTGGCAAGATGAGTTTAAAAAGAAGTCTGATTTGTGCCTAGGTCGGCACCATAACAGCTGCAATCACAAGACAGACTCAAACTATTCATCAAGAGCACTGGATTAGGCATTTCAGCAGAGCATCATCAAGACATTTGATCATTAAGCAACAGCTAAACATATAAGGTAATGCAATCCTCATCTCTTCATACAGGAAGTAACCCAAAATGAAGTCTGAAGATTTGTCCAAGGTTTGAGAGGCACAGGAGACAGACAACCCTGCAGCTGTGCAACAAGTCTAGGACAACTCATACAAGCTGCTAGCACAACAATTCCTTTCTGGCAACAATTAATTTTGGAGCAGTGTGTATATGGATAAATAAATTTTAAAAAAAAGTTCAGAGCTGCAAAGTGAGTGATATCTTTGATGTCTGAAGTTTATGCAAGTTTGAGGCATTGTCCTGCTTTTCTGGTTTTACTCCAGCACTTTCTATATCAAAAGAATAAACGAAAACTTTTTTTGCTGTTTGTTTATAATAGTGTGGACTAACCAGACACAAAAACATATTTCAATACAACTGCTGATTAGGACCTGTTGGGGGAAACAGTTTTGTGTGGGTGCAGAAAGTATTTGCATTGCAGCACCTTGAGTTAGATTTGAAAGAACCAGCTCAACACATACCTTAGCTTTTTATTTTGGTAAGCACTGGGCTGGGATCTTCTGAGACTGGTAAAAGATACTTGTGTGGGGGTTTTTTAATGTTCACAAAGCAACCACTTAGTTTTGGGGTCCTGTTTACATGAAGTTGCCTACAGTAACTTTTCAGATCAAATAAAATCTGAGTTCAAATCAGATTTCTCCTGATCTCCAAATGAATTAGCTCTCTAGAGGTTACAGTCTTGTTCCTAGACCATTTTACCTTTCTGCGGAAAGCTTACCTAATGTGTAAAAGATCCTGGTCATCAGACTGATGCCCACAAACATTGAGAGCCAGCCAGCTGCACGGAGGGCCCAGGTCTTCATGGTGTTACTCTCCTGCTCCTTCTGAAACACCTCCTGAAAGCAAACACCATCACATGCAGCCTGTTTCCTGTTCTTTTTCAAGATCCTCTTAATTCCAGAACATTATGAGCCAAGCAGAGCCAAGAGCATTTTAGGAGTGCAATTTCTCTTGCAGAAAATACATTGCAGCTCATTCTGCAGGGGCTGTGCAGGATGGCAGTACACTGCAATAGACTGAACAGTGCAGCATGGGGGAAACTGGCACTTTTAATAATTAAAACAGCCTAAAAAGCACCATTCAACACTTCCCACAAGCAGAAAGCATACAGGTTTTGCTGAAATTGAATACATTCAACATTACTGTGGAAAATAAGACACTAATAAGTAACTGTCATAAAGAAGGAAGAGTCTGACTTCACTCTGAAGGAAGAGAGAATAGGCAATATCCAAATGATGGCTGAAGGAAAGGTGTGTGAAAGAGAGCAAGCTGGATTCAGGGGAGAAAAGCTAAAAGGTATGTGTGTGCATTTCAACAGGCAAAGGAAAGCGTCTCTTTGCAAAAATTCTGATTAAGATTTTTCTCAAAATGGGTTGTGTGACCCTCTGGCTCAACAAAATGTTCACATGAAGATGGCTGGGACATCAGAAAGCACTAATGGTAAGAGATGTGTAAGACTGATTGATTATTTGCACATACAAGTACTCAATGCATTATTTATTTGTAACCAGTTCATTTTCAATGAAACAAAATTCTGTCTAATGAAGATTCAGAGCTTACAGCAGATAGTTGATTCTACTGCTACTCTTTCAAGTCAGAACAAAGCCTTTCTAACTGCTTTTGGGGAGCACCTGTAAACTCTTGACATCTGCTTTTCTTTGCAGCAGGGCATGAAACAATCATTAACGGAAACAAACCTACTAAAAGAAGTAAATGAATCACCGAATTGCTGGA